TCCTTATGAGTACCAGAGCTGCTTGGGGAAGTAGCTGGCTTGGTCTTGTCGAATCTACCGTCCTTATGAGTACCAGAGCTGCTTGGGGAAGTAGCTGGCTTAGTCTTGTCGAATCTACCGTCCTTATGAGTGTTTGTACCGGTGGCAGTAACAGTGACAGTAGAAGCTTCATCTTTGGCAGCTGAAGCTACGGCCGCAATGGATGTCAATCCAATTACAATACTTGATAATTTCATTTTGATATGCCTATAATATGTTTGAAGAAAAAAAATGAAAAAAGCGGATTAATTTTATATTTAATAACAAAAATACTGAGAATTTCCTTTTCCAAAAATCTTCGCACCGATACTGTGTACATTTTGCCGGTACATCCTTTCCTACAATAAGCGCTCACCAGCACTGTATGCTCGCTTAATGGAGAAAATTTTCAGTTAGGTGATATAAGATTTTGGACAAATGCAAATAGGCCGTTACATATTCATGATTAAGAAATATAAGCTTCACATCCCAATTTGCTAATGCAACATTTCTTACATACATTTAAAAAGCACTTACAAAATAGTTAAAAGCTTATTGGTGAGAAAAAAACTTTTATGTCGTACTGTTACGTAATCTTCTGACATTCCCCAAACGATTAATTGACTTCACTAATTGGGTTAAACTGGTCGGTTGAGTCGGTTAGGTCGGTGATTTTTATTATTAGCCGGAAGTGAGGTAATTTATATAATCATAAGCCTTGATTATCAGAAATGAGATTTATTAGAGATGCAGATATAAGCCTAGATACGCTATACTAGAGATGAGAATTATAAAATCATAAGTTATAGGTTATAAGATTATAAGATTATAGAGAAGATTGCATCGTTATAAATGAGAAAAATAACAATACAGTGATTTAAGAATATATTGAGTGATTAAAATTGGAAGTTTTGTTGTTGTTGATTCGGATCAACTCCGAAACCAAACGCATCACCGTAAGCTTGAGGAGCAACTCCTTCGTCGTCAATTTGATCGTCCTCTTCAGAAAAATATTTTTCGATGATAGAGTAGGCCTTCTCGTAGATTTTTTCATTTTCGTTCGCTTGACATTCGAAGATCTTTTCCATACCACCAGCTTCCTCGATGTATAAGGCATTTTCGTTAACAGATGCATTCCTGGACTCCTTATCCATCTCACCCATCTTCAAGATATTTTCTAACGAGTCTAAAGTAACTTCGATGATCTTGGTGTCAGCAACCGCCAATAAGTCACACAATGGTTTGATACATCCTTGGCTTACCAAGTAACGAATCTGATCTGGTCTAGTTAATCCACCAGAAGAAGCATTTGATATCGCCCAGCAGGCTTCTTTCTTGGTCTTGTAATCACCATTTATCAACAATCTGATAATTTGAGGAATTAAATTGGCGTCTATGACAGATTGGATCTGATCAGTATTACCAGCAGTGATATTAGAAATCGTCCAACATGCTTCCTTTCTAATAGTTTCCTTTGGAGAATTTAACAACGGAGCCAATGCTGGCAATACTCCAGCATTTATAACTATTTGAGTTTGAACATCATTACCAGTTACTATATTACCAATTGCTCTTAAAGCAGGAGTTTGAACTAAAGTTGATTCATGGCCTAATAATTCGACTAATCTATGTGGAATTCTGGCATCAACAACTGCCTGGATTGCTTCAGTTGTGCCGTCAGATAAGTATGAAACTGCCCAACAGGCATCAACCAATGTTTCAGTATCAACAGAATATATCAATTTTGCCAAGGTTGGGATTGCTTGCTGGACAACCGACCAGTCTGGCTGAGGGTTCTTACCTCTACACAAATTTGACAAAGTCCAAGTAGCTGTTCTAATCAAGGACATTTTGGTACTGTTGAAAAGGGATAAAACTGGAGCCATCGCATCACACGCTAAGACAAAATCTCTATAGTCCGCCAGGTCCCCTGCAACGTTACCCAAAGCCCATATCGCTTGCTCTTTAACTTCTAACGATTGAGAATATAACAATTGAACAAATAATGGTACCGCACCAGATTCAACAACAACCCTCGTTTGGTCAGAATTACCGGAAGCAATGTTGGTCAACGCCCATGCCGCTTCTAATTGTAACATATCCGGGTGGTTATCTCTCATAAACTCCACCAACGTTGGAATAACCCCACATCGAATAACCAAATTGATAGGTGGATTGTGTTCACGAGACAATATTTGACGAAACTTCACCGTAGCCCCTAACTGGTTATCAAAGTCTGACGCCTGGATCATTTCCATCATCTTTGGCAATTCTTGCTGTAACTTGTTGTAAAACTGATTTTCATCGCTATTGGAGTTGGCATTGAATTCATCTTCGTCTTCTGAATCGTTTCCTGCGGCCTCACTGTTGAAGTTTCTTCTTTTAGATAAGACTTCTTCTCTTTTTTGTTTTCTCAAATCGACTTGATGCGTCTCTCTTCTTCTTCTTAATTCATCGCTCTGGAAACGTCCCTTGTTTTTAAAATTAGTACGACGATATTCAGGAATAAATTTATTGGTGGTATCCGAGTCCATTATGGTTTGATTGATTTATCAATGGCGACACAAGCTTTAATATACAATCTTACTGGTACCGCTTTAAAATTTTTATGGATGGCGTTGTTTTCTTGAAGAAATGATATTGGGCTTTGTGTAACCTTTCGCTGGATCCTTACATAATCCAAAGATACAAAAAAAATCCCACTAGTATAGCTTAGATGGCCCTAACTATCTCATATAACCACGACACAGACGCTTATAGACATTGTATTCTATGCTTAAATTCAGTATCTCAAATAGGGCAGTGAAGCCTATAACGTTGATGCGTTATTTCCACGTGGGTAGCGTACACAACAAGAGCCACAACACTAGTTACAGACTGAGCGATTCCACCGTCAACAGTGATGAAATCATGTCAGAAAACGATCCATGGTCACCAACGTTGTTCAACGACATTGTGCATATACGTAAGCCTAACTCGTTCAGAAATACACCGTTACCATCGAACTATAGGTTATCGTACCTGGCATTGTATGAGGCACCGGGAGCCAAGTACGTAGCCATGTTGAAGCGACTCTCGCTAAGCTTTGCTGTGTTGGGATGCTACGGGGCCAAGCTCTTTTATGAGTCAGTTCAGTTTGACGATATTTATGCCTTTGCAACGTTGATCTCTTGCACTGCACCCGCATATTTTGTGCAAATCAAGACACGGGACTATGTGACAAGAATATTCAGGTTATACGACAAGGAAAAGCCCCAGACGCTTGAAAACTTGTTGGCGGATGAAAAGCTCGTCATGGAAAAGTTGAATATGACCGGGGGAAAGACGTACAACGAGCTTTTGACCATCACAGATAACAAGTCGTTGAAACTTGTACACCCACCACGATTCCCATTGTTGAGTCCCTACGCATCGTGGGAGGAAGTGGAAAAAGAATCTGGAGTAAAGAGGAAATACTATGTCGTTGATGATATTGGTGGGTTGAAAATGGACAGGCTTTGGGGCATTGTCGAGCATAATAGTAAGGTTGATAATGGAAGGTATATTGAGCCGGAAGTGTCTGCTGATAAATAATTTTTTATAGAAAAGTCCCTCAGGAGCGTTTCGACTGCCCGAGGCACCCATGTATATATATAATCGTTACGAATAATAACAGAATCCCCGTATTAGTAGTCTTTAACGGCTTTTTGCAATCTCCAGATTTGTTGATTCGTAGATCACACGACCTTGATAAAAATCGCCTAACTTTATTCCACGCCCCTTTCATAGAGTAAATATTGATTCAATCATTAAGCGATTTTGGTTCCATGCATAATTGAAGCTGTGAAATAGTTATAAGGTTCAAGGAGATCGGTAAATATTGGTCGATTTCGTAAGGTTAGATTTGGAGTTTTTTTAAGGTTTTAATAATGGTTAATTTTTTTGGGCCTCCGAAGACGCAGAGTTACTATAATCCACATTCGCAGATACGGTCACATCCCGTTTTACGACACGGTAAGGATAAAGAATTAGAAAAAGAAGAAGAACATGAAAAGAGCGATGGAAATACAGAATCAGATTCGAAGGAACAAAAAGACGAATCGCCAGATGTACATAAGAAGAAAGGACATGGACATAAAAAAGGAAAGGATGCGCCAGAAACAGAAACAGAAGTTAATACTAGACTAAATGCGTTACTTTATCATACAAGCAATGAGACAGTGGATCTATATAAACTGGAGAATAATTCTTCTGATTTATTGGGAAGATTGTATTACGATGATTACGATTCAGACGCATTGAGTTCTCCAGATCCTTCGAGTCCGTTGGTATCACCAAGTGGGAGCTACACGCATACATCAGATTACTTCAATTCTAGGCTAGGTCATAATTCGGCGACATCACCAAGTATTGGGTCTACGCTAGCATCTCTGTCACCTTCACCGAGCATTGGAGCAACGCTTATGGGTTCACAGTCGTCGTCAGCATTGGGCTCATTAGCGACCCCTGGATCTAGGGTTAGACCAGAGATGAAAAGAATTAAGTCATTTGAAAGAGGAATCTCCTTCGATACTTCTACGGATAATCATAGAAAATCGCTAACCTTTAAGGTTAAACATCCACATTTCAGATTTAGAAGAAATAACAAGACATTTTTGGCGGGGTTTAACAATGGCTTAGAATCTTTAAAGGCAATTGAGTGGTTATTTGATGAGATGATTGTTCATGGCGATACGGTAATCATTTTGCAAGTTCTTGATGAGAAGCAACATGAATCCATTGATAAACGACAAGCAAATAAGGCACTTAACAAAATTGAACTTTTAAATACGCATTTCAAGAAAGTATCGTTAGTATTTGAAGTAGTTATCGGTAAACCACAGAAGTTACTTAAAAAGGCTATAGATGAGTACAGTCCGGCAATGATGATTATAGGAACCCGACACTATGGGGATAAGGCTAATTCTGGCCACTCCAAACTTTTCTCATCCAAGTCTTCGATGTCTAAGCACTTTTTAGAATGTGCATTAGTGCCAGTAATTATAGTTAAACCAACATACAATTACGTCGAATTGCTTCAACAACCTATAGAGTCCGAACTGTACTTCCAAGATTGGCTTAGTGAGATTGATATAAGCGGGACCTATACAAAAGACAAGCACAAACGTAAAACAAAATTAAACTTTGTCACTTCGTTAAGTCCGTCATCCTCGCGATCTAGTTCCTATACTGATATGTCTTCATTATCTCAAGCTGATAGAGGCAGAACCACGACATCTACAAAGGAAAACCAGCCCTTTAAAAAGGATGTAGAAGATAGAGGAAGACCGCTGATTCCTTCTGACAAAGAAGGGTTACCCAAGTTCCTATTGAGCGAATCAAGATCCAGATCTAGATCCAGATCCAAATCAAGAGACTTCTCGAGGATATTCGGACGTCATCATTAAACATTTGTAACATCTATAATAATAAACGGTATAATCATACATCGGATATGCGCGGTTCCGTAATGAAATCTCATAAATTGACCACATTTTCATCAAATCTCATGCATTTTGCAATTTTGATCCTTCTGAAATTTATTCTTTTGTTCTGGGATACAAATTTCTAATTCCATAATATGACTCAAAGAATTGTCGGTAACCCTATAATTACTTTTATTGACTTCTTGTCAATTGTTATTGGAGCATATGGATTTCAAAGCACCATATTGACTCTACCATTACCACCTCATTTGGTTGATGCTGGACATTGGCAATTTCTAACAAATCTAAGTTTGGTATATTCACTCGTCGTGTTTGTTGTTGGGTTTATTGCTCATATCACCAAATCTGAAAGGCTCTTCAGCTTGAAGAATAATTTACATCCAATTGGTTTAGCTCTTGAATCAATTGTATCGATAGTGTATTGGCCATTAAGATTATTCTGTCTTCGCTTGTTAGTTGAAGATACTTCACTTTATCCGATACCTATGTCGGCAGATTTGGCGGTTCATTTAATGCCTGTGGTCTCATTATTAATTGACTATCTTATATTTATGCCGAGATGGACGATAAAGACCAAAACTGCATTTGGTATTTGTTTCGCCCTTACTGGGGCTTATTGGTGCTTGTTAGAATACTTAGTCGATGTCGAGAATGGAAGTTCCTATCCGTATGCATTTTTAAACGTTCCACACAACGGATTGCGTGCTTTCATATTTGTCATAGTAGGTGGTGCAGCATTTGTACAGTTTTTAATTATGTCAAAGATTTATTCTGTACTTGTGGAAAGCCCACAAGGCTCCACCATTGAGGATATCAGTAAGAAAGAAATTTAGAAACATATAAAAGTCTAGTTATTTATTCTTTTTCTCTATAAATATATGATACACATTAATTTATCAACGAGTATTGTAGCACTAATGTTGAAGTCTTAACTGTAAATAAATCTACTACTATTATTCGATGTGAAGCTTAGTCTTAGTTACGAGTTTCATTGAATAATAAAGAGAAATATGATTTATGAATCCAAGTCCCATAAAAACTAACAACCAGCCAGTCCTCTGCATAAAGTTACCATTATTTAAGAATGGGTATGGAAATTTGGTTAATCCGTCGTCATTTAATACTGAAGTACTAAGTTCTATCAGCGACCAATATAATCCCAAAAAGATTACTGATATGCCAAATGATTCTGTAAAGCCCGTCGAGCTCACATCTTGATTATTTCTGAATAGTAGTACATCTACAAGTAAAAACACATATGGCAATAGATGAATTTTTAAATCTAATGTCCATGGGACAGCAAATGATTTACCATTAAGCATCTCAGGGCAGAACAAAATTATAGACCAATATGTTACCGTTACAATAAATTCTAAATTACAACATAAGTTTTCAAGATCATTAACAGTCCTTCTGATTGATCCATACTTAATCCCCAATGCTTTCCCTAAGGTGGTAGAAATGATACAAAGCATACATAAGCATGTTACCAAAAGTGAAGTATTTGTTAAAAATTGCCAAACCCCACCTTTAATCAAGTGGGCCGGTAGTGGTAACAAAATTGATTCGACCAATCCAGTTCCACATAAATATAAACCCCATAAGTTCCAAGCTGCCCTTAAAACTAAGCTTTTATTCGAATGCATTAGTCCCCTTATATTATTTTGAGAGGTTCTTCTATCTAATCTAAGTACAAATTTGAAAAATATGGACCACGTGAATTTCAGTAACGGAAACTCTCGACTTATAATCCTTAACAGAATTGCAATTACCCTTGATAATAGCATAAGATTAGGGTCAAGATGGTTCTTCCAAAGTTCAGTATAGTAACACTTACGCTAATATGTTTTGTCAGGGGAATATATAGTTGGCAATTTCCTTTCAAAATGATGAATAATTTGTCCCCACAAGCTAATCAATTAATGGATAAGGTTGTAAGTCAATTTCAAGCATCATTTCATAATAATGAAGACGCTGAATTTAAGCATTACTCTACAATTCCAGATGATGAATTACCAATAGAATTGTTGCAATATACAGATGATGTTGTGGCTAGAGTAAATTTTACTGGAAATGATCATTTACGGATGTTTTTATTGAGTAATGGAGATGAAAGACGTCAGGAGATACAATTCAAGGTTTGGAGTAGAAGTCACACGCAGAATTTCATTGATTTACAGATAAATGAAGACAACTTAATTAAATTGGTGGAAAAGTTCACTAGTCCAGAATATGAATTGAAGTATGATATAATCATTGAAGACTTGGCACAGAAGGTCTTCGAGACATATCCGAAAGATTACAAGAAAATGAACAACATCAAGGGTAAGAATATTGGTAAAAACTCTTACCAACATGAGGCTACAGCTGAAGTTGTTAATTCAATGGAGGCGGATGTGTTTTCCGAACTATTTTTTAGAGAATATCGTCCCTTAGAGACTATTAATGCATGGCTTGATATAATAGAGCAAACATTTCCAGAAATTGTTACGTTAGAAGACATAGGGCAAACTTTCGAGCATAGGTCATATAAAGTGGTACACTTTTCTGTAAAAGATGATGAAACTGAACACCAACCGAAGAAAACTGTTGTCATCACTGGTGGTGTTCATGCAAGAGAATGGATTTCAGTATCTTCGGTTTTGTATACCATTTATTCTATGCTTAATTACTATCAAGAAAATCCAACTATCTTTGCCAATCTTGATTTCTTATTTATTCCAGTCCTGAATCCTGACGGATATGAATACACGTGGAATACCGATAGATTATGGAGAAAAAATCGTCAACAGACTATTTTACCAAGATGCTTCGGAATTGATATCGATCATTCGTACGATTACCATTGGACGTATTCTTCTGACTGGGCATGTGGTGAAGATTATTCCGGAGAAGAACCATTTGAAGCAATAGAATCTAAAATCTGGAACGATTACTTGAATGCGACAAACGATGATCATAAAATTTATGGATATATTGACTTACATTCATATTCGCAAGAGATTCTCTATCCTTACGCCTACTCGTGCAATGAAAATCCAAGAGACGAAGAAAATTTAATTGAATTAGCTTATGGTGTCGCAAAGTCCATAAGGTTGCAGACAGGTAAAACATATAATGTTTTACCTGCTTGTCAAGATAAAGATCTGGATTTACTACCAGATCTAGGATCAGGAAGTGCCCTTGATTTTATGTATCATAATAAGGCATTCTGGGCATATCAACTTAAGCTAAGAGACAGTGGAAGTCATGGATTTTTATTGCCCGGTAAATATATTATTCCAGTTGGTAAAGAAATCTACGCTGGTATTAGATACTTTTGTAATTTTGTTTTGAATGAATAAGCTCACAGTTTAAGCGAGCATAAATTTTTCAATTGTAGTTTTCACTTTCTATAGGGTTTATATTATAATGAGAGTTGTTATTCAAAAGGTTAAGCAAGCATCTGTGGTCGTAGATGATAAGATCATTTCATCGTAAGTATTTGCCAATAGTAAACATAGGTTTTAAATGAATTGAGATTAACTAAGAAAGAATTAATAAAGGTCTAATGATTCTTGTTGGAATTTCAACCAAAGATACCTTGGAAGATGTAACTAGGTTAACAAAAAAGTTGTTAGGCCTTCGAATTTTTGAAGATATTTCTAATCCACCACTGACTGATTCCGTACAAAAGTGGAATGGGAAACCTTGGTCGAAAAGTCTACTTGATGATCCATCTTTGTCCGTTTTATCAGTATCCCAATTTACCCTCTACGGTACCATTAAAAAAGGAACGAAGCCGGATTTCCATAAGGCAGCTAAAGGTATGGATGCCAGGAGCTTATATGATGAGCTTTTGAACCTGTTGAGAATTGGATTGGGTAGCGAAGAAAGAGTAAAAGATGGGGAATTTGGAGCTATGATGGATGTTTCCTTAATAAACGATGGACCAGTTACGATTATTTGGGACACCCAGGATTCAACCTTATAACACCTGAAATGTTTCTGGTAATATATTTAATTACATTAGACAATTTAGATGCTTGTGTGTAGTATAGGAAAATAGACTATCACAATCAGTGACACCCGGATACCAATTATTAGATTTCTACGGCATAAGCAATGTTTAGTTCCAAATATCCTAATTAAAATATTTGCAAAATTAGGTCTCTCTTATATCTAAAATATATAATCTATTCTAAACCAATAGAATAAGAATGCAAAATCAAGCATTAAATAAAAATAATTAAAAATAAAAAAGTATCAGAATTAAATATTAAATGGCATTACTTGCGCATGAAAACACTGACCCGTAGGCATTAGCTTGATAGGAAAGAATGATACTCTGGATTGTAGAGTACAATCCAGGTCCTAGAATATAAATACCAATACCAATGAGGAATATATTTATGAGAACTTCTATCTTTCCCACCAACGTTGCTTTTTGAAAGATTTTGACCACTGACAACTTAGATTCACCTAGTTTAGAATAATGCAAACGTTTCAACTTAAAGAATGCTACGCCCCAGAAAACGAATCCGAACCAACAATCAAAAAGCGAGCACATCAAGGAAAGCAAATCGGAGAAGAAAGGAATAACTTCAGCAATAATGAAGGCAATTATCCAAAGCACAAGGTTCAAACCTATCCACGTACCCCAACCAACAATAGTGTGGTTATTTCTGTGAGCGGAATCTTTGTTGAAAATCTTGAGGAACAAAAATTGGGACGAAACATTACCATATAAGGCACCCAAAAAGAGAATAGTTGGTAAAGCGAATGAAAAGGCAATCTTTTTATAGTTTCCAGACAATCCTCCAAACGCAGGTGCAACCATGTAATCATCACCCACATAGACATAAACTACGGCCCCACAAAGAGAAAACGTTATAAGTTCGCACAATGTAACCATGTACAATGCTTTTTTGAAATCCTTTGGTCTTTTCATTTGACTGATAAAAGATGGGTACGTGATTTGTCCAACAAATGTATAGACAATGTTCAAAAAAGCAGACATACCCAGAACATAAGTGGTACCTTTAGCTGGGAAAAGTCTCCAACTGACAGGTTCTTGTAATTCATCGTAACCGCTAGGATGGTCCTGAATACCAGCAAAAATCATCGAAAGAATAACGGCAATAAACATAGTAATAGCACTAAAATATGCAACACTTGATAACGACGAAAACGTTCTTGGTAATGAGATCAAAAAACATATTATCATAGAAACAACTGCGAAAACAATCGAACAGATTGTTGTATTTTCACTAACAGTATTGAAGTACTCTGCACCCGTCAAGACGTGCAACGCTTGAATCAAAGTATTATTAAGTAAAAACATCACTGCAGTGATATACCACACTGTCTTAGAACCAAAAAAAAGATGTTGCCCTATATCACAAACATTGGTGACATGTGGGTATGCTGCAACAAAATCGGTGATGATCAAACCGGTGTATAAAACGGTAAGCGATACAAATGCCGTTAAGATTAATCCCGGTACTAATCCTAGCACCGAATAAGACCATGGAAACGACATGATGGCCAAACAAATATACTCTGAGAACAACAACCCAGCAGTCTTTTGCCACGAGCAATTCCTGTAGTTGATTTGATGCTGAGACTCCTCTATGATTTGTGCCTCGATGAACTCCTCGTTGGCCAACTCCATGTCTTTCTCCGACATCTTCTCCTTAGCGAGATCTTGCTGCGATGCACTCATCTTGTCAAAATCTTCATCAAAAGGGCCTCCGTATATCCCTTGCGAATCGCTAGAATTCAGGTAATAACGACCATCTGGATTAGAAATGGATCCCATTGTACTAGTAGTCTACCAATTGGTATTTAAAAGGCTAAATATACCACAAATGGAATATTAATTATCAATGCAGCACTACTAGCAAAAGCGAAAGTACTGTAATGAGTGAAATAGTTTGTATGAACTAATTAGTATAATTCAAATATTTCAACTTATTTCATAAATCTTTATCACAATATCTCCTAATTGTATGTCAATTCTACAATTAAAATAGTATAAAATGTCTAAATTGGTCTCAATCCTTGGAAATTTCCGCAATTAACGTTTTTCATCAATCGTACTTCTTCACAAGCATATATATGGACATATTTATCAAAGGAGATGGTCAAAGATTTTTCATCACAGCTAAAAGGGCTTCAAACACAATACACAGGATTAAGAAATTCTGAGTAAAAAGAACTGTGGCTATTATAAAATAGCAATTAAGGCCACAGTTATCCCATATCGTGCATAAGACATGCAAAAATAGTAGCCATAACCTTACTTTAAACAGTATGACGTTATAAGCACACGTCTTAGCGAAATGAAGGCGGACATGACATAAGACATCTCAATAGTTTATTTAGTCTTTTTACGGCGAAATGAATAAAATACCATCATCTGGGTTAGGATAAACGTAAGATAAACGTAAGCTAAGCGAATTGTAGTCGGGAGCTCGTAGTTATCAATGATAATGCCACGGCATAGCAAAGCCATGGTGTGCGTTGTAATGGTAATTATGTCACAAAATCGCATGGGGTGCATTTTTCAACGTACTAACGGAATTCGGCCCAAGTTATTCTGGGCAATGATTTGCAATGGTAAATTGGTGGGGATTGATTGGTGTTCAGGATAGCCGCGTTAGGTACGGACGATGGACCCGGAACATTTCCAGATCAAATTTCGGGTTTAGCATCCTATAATCAACGCAAGCGATATAATTGCGAGTGCGGTTATGATCCACCCATACTTAAGATTGTCGAGGTCGAATCTATCTATGGGATCAAACTCAAAAGATGTGAAAAAGGTGTTGGTTGATGATGTAGTACTAGCGAACCACGTCGGACGTATACGGTTTAATAAGCTGTAGTTTATGCATCGTTGAAGCAATAAATTTGCTATGATAATTGTGAGCGACACAACAACAGAATATTTGATTATATTTGACTGTTGGTTGGTCAACAGTTTGGAAGTGTTCATGATTCTGTTATATAAGTGCATGATATTGATTCCTGGTTGTAGATAGTCAGGCAGACTATACGTGTAGTTTACGAGGCGATGATACAAACGTAGTCTGGACGGATTCGTGTGATTTGGTATTCTAGCTTATGCGTGCCACGAAATTAATAAACAGGAGTAGCGGATAAAGGTAAGCTTATAGCCTTGACAATTGTTTGTTAGATGGTGCTCAAGGAGTAATTATTTCGAAATGTATTAGTAGTAACGACTGTTCGTAGAATAAGTGGGATTAAATAAATTGACCGATGGGATCGTCGATCAGCTCGAGTCACCGAATGCACAACCACGAATATATATTTTATGTTCACCGCTAAATAAGCATTCTATAACCGATAAAGACATTAGATAATTAGCATATCATTCTTTATAAATTCAAGCAAGAGTCTCCAACGCCTTCTTAAAGTGACGTATAGGAATATCGTTAGAACTACGTAGCTAACCATTATCATACCGCTTAGCATACTGGCAATCACCATCCGAACCATACTGTACACTATATCTAACCCACAACATATTAGCTTTACTAACAACCATATATTACTATCAAGTACTTCATTATTTGCCGTGTTGATTGCACTTATGAACGGAGGATTAAACATCTCAGGGTGAATTATAATCATTATTGGATTCCTAACATTAATTAAATCCTGTCGTATATTCCTTGCAATCTGTAATAAAATCGTATTTGAATACATATCGTTGCTATATAGATTGATCTATCACATATATTGGTTTCTGGTGTTATCCTTGTTGCGATGAATAAAAGACCATATCAGTCCGATAATACTGACAAACGGCGCCGAGTCGATATTTCACTACTAAATTTGCCTACCGATATTCTAGTTATTTGTTTTCAACAATTATCATCTACTGATATTATAAACCTCTCGTGTGTGAGTAAGCGATATCGAGAGGAGTTGATTCGTTTTGTTTTCAATAAAATTAAATGTACTTGGTACGATTTGGCAAGACTAGATCCACTTTCAGTCATTAACGGACTCAATCAATTTATATCGCAAGTACGCATCGTGGATAGTTATTCCTACGGCGAATGGCAAATTGATATTTTCCCTGTTTTACATACTTTTTTCCCCAATTTATCTCGTCTTCTAGTCAATTCATCAAGTTCTTCGAATTGGTTAAAATATCGGGAAAGCACTGTTATTACCAGTTTAACATTATATTATGAGGCGGGCCACCACGAATCAGAAATAGCTACTAATCTGCTCTCTGGTACCAATAATCCTAAACGAATCAGTCATAAATTAGTATCTACCAATGCAAAGCTTTTTAATCTATTCCATTTAGATAATATGCCCAACTTGACAACTTTGACTCTCAATAATTACCATTTTAATTGGGAGCATGATGCAAGCTCACATTTAACTCATTTAAATAAGCTATCCCTCATTGATTGTACGTGGGAATACCCGTTTGATTTAAGTCAGTTTAATATAAATAATTCCTTGACTCAGTTGCTCATCCAGTATACAAATAATAACTCATTCATATTACTGGAACGATTCACTAAATTCTTAGAAAATCCAACAAATTTTCAGCGGACTGCTATACAAGAATTATCGATTTTGTTCACCAAGTTTAATAATTTGTGGCTTAAGCCATTATCAACCAAACAGTTAGCTAGGTTCATTGGAGATCATTTCCCTAATTTGATATACCTAAGACTCTCTGGGTGGCTCTTGAATTTGAAAAACTTTAATTCTTACATGAGTTTACTTGAGGATAATAATTTGAAAGTACTAGACCTTTGTATTACTGATTCCTCATCGTCGACCGATCGTGACAATTTAATTCACAACATTCTTCAGCAATCAAGGACGCACTTTCCTTGGATGAAATTAGCTTTAAGAACTTCACTCAATCACAGTTCACCCCACTGATTTCTTCTGGGATCCTACAAATAGCCCATCAGACTCTATATCTGGCCGTATGGCAGTTTTGCATCTTTTTTAATATTATCCTGTATATAGATTGGAATATATTTCACTTCAACAGATAGACTAAAAGACATTACTCTTTACCATTGATCATGGTACAATTATTTGCAGCATTGTATTTTATACTAGCTGTATTGTCATCCATGGTTAGTGCAAACACTGAAACGTATTTGCTACAAGTCCCCCATTATTTTAATATCCCGTCCCATCCCAATGAAATAAATTCTCACAACTTGCACCATCGATCTGTCCATACATTGAACAGGACCCATTCAGTCTTGCTAGATTTTCCCATCAAAAATACTCCACCATCATCCAATATCTCCAATACCGTATCATTGGTCTACAATCCACTAGTGCACCCAGCAAAAAAGCTCTTGGTTAGGTTAAATAACTACCATGACGAAACCTTTAAATCAGATGATTTGCTTTACGTAAAGTTATGCTGGCCTGCCACTACCCCTGTTGATTTCAGATTTGACCATAGCTTCCATAGATTGTCTGAGTTTCATTTTGAACATACTGAAGACACCTTCGATATATACCTTGAAGTTGAAATTTCGAGCGACGTACATACCTACAGTACTCAGTACAACGATTCCATTGAAGAAATTCAATTTCAACTTTATATTACAAAAATGCCTAGTAAATGGATTCCTATACCATTGGAGTTGTATTCTTACATAGTCTACGTGGCGGATCTTTCTATCTTACTAGTAAGCATAGTTCCATGGATCTTCGGTATACTATTTACGTAGACCCAGCCAAAAGTACAACATCGGTCACGTGATTTGATATCTCCTTAAAACAGGTCAGTTAGAATTCAATAGGTCCATATAGTATTTATTATAATCTAAGTAATTGAACGTAACAATAATATTTAGATATGTCAATGCATGAAGATGATCCCTTGGGACCACCCAAGAATACACAAGGTTTGGATTTGTCTAAATTATCCCCACAAGAATTAAGAATTTACAAAATGTATGGGAAATTGCCCACGACTCAGCAAATATTGACATCCAAATTTCAAGACAAGAAATACTTTGATAGTGGAGACTATGCCATGCAGAAGCAGATGGGGTCTTCGAATAAGGGTATTCCAGGCGGGATACCTATGAAACACCCAAATGCTGAGAAAGTGAAGGAAATCTATAATAGAAATTCGATAAGTGGCAGTAACGCAGGTATATTGTACAACGGTAAGCTGAGTTTGCTTAATGAATCGACACCTAATAGCGCAGGAATAGAGGAGGAAGAAGGCGAGGTATCAAAATGAATAAAATGATGAATTTGGCGAACGGCAAGCGTGTGATTGAGCCATTGATTATCGAAGCGAAACGCTAATTTAGTCCAATAGCAAATTGAGATTGATGTGCTAATTGTATTTAATTTCGAAGCGAAATTAGTCTTGTTGAATAAGTTGAAATTTTCTTGTCAAATAAGTTTATTTAAACTTTCTTGCATTACTTAGCTGCATGTGCTGAGAGTTCCTGTCGTACACCATTTCGCTCAATCGTTCGAATAATGGTTTCGACTGTATGCGTATTACCTGAAATACGTATTTAATTATGATTTTTGTTATTATATAACTTTTTTTCATGCGTAGTCAAATATCGGTATAATTTAACCATACTATATAGTCTAATTTATTCAATAAAAAAAAATTCGAAGATCGGCATTTGTATTCTCTCTGTACATTGAATAACAAGTCATATGCTAATACTACTTCACAAGTTAGACTGATATGATCAAAGATGGTAAAATTAGCAGCTGTCAGTTCAACGATCATATTGATGAGTTCAATGAAGTCTTATTGCGAAATTTGAGGTTAATTCCATCGTACTCGAATTCAGGGGGATCAGATGCAAATTTTGATATAATCAATAATTATAAAAAGGAATTGAATTCGAACACTAAGAATCTGAAAAAGACTTACATATTGACAAGAATATGTCTTTCTAGATCTTCGTTACCTAATTGTTTGCTAATTGATTTTACGTTATCATACGATGATTTTTATATGGTTCCTGTATTATATTTCCGTGCATTTAAAGATAATAGTAAATCTACTAGTGGAAACATAGAAGAGACTAGAGTAACTCCGATAGTTTCTACAGAAAAGCTTATTTCGAACTATTATTCAGTTTTAGGGTTAAGTAGTGACCTGAATTTGGGGCGAACCGTAACTTTGGATTCACACCACTTAATAACTGACAGTAGTGTCTGGTTTTACGTACATCCTTGTGAAACGCTACATACATTAAAAGATTTTATGGAAGCTGACAATTGTTTACTACCTTGCGATAGTGAGCAAGTCCAAGTTGTAAAATACTTAAGCATTTGGTATGCAACTTATGGTCTTGGTGGAATATTTCCATCCATCAGTTTAAGACCCACCTTACATGTATAATAATGAACCTTTGTGTTATTAATATAAATAACTAAAACATATTAAATAAACTAAATAATCTGTATGATGAGTAATGTAAGTGAAGAAAAAGATGCAGCCAACTAAGGTAAGAATTAAGAATATCTATTGTTGAGGTTTAGCTTCAGTGAACATACGACATGGGTAATTATCGGTAAACATACCATGTTGAGGCTCTTGTAAAATGGTCCAGTGAAACTTTTTCAAAGATGGAGCAACAATTGGTTCACCTTCCTTACCCAATAATTCACCCTTGAGAACCGATGGAGAAACAGAGCTTAAAGTGGAGGCCAAACTGACTTCTTGAGATGGATCAATAAACACAGATAATTCTTTACTACCTTTATCCCCGATGGAAATTCTTGGTTTCTCTGCTGACCCTAATTGCAACAATCCCGAAACCTTGGTTTGGTTGAACCCGTGTACTTGAGGATAGTTTCTTCTGTAATCCCTCTTATAAAATGGGTTTCCTTTAATATCACCAGCTGGAAACGTTACAGGGTTTCCGTAGTTCTTTGCATCTTCAAGACGAGCACCTGGAGGTGACTTTCTATAGAGTGAAACAATTGGATTACCAGAAGATCTGTTTGGGACCAAAGCCAACGCTTTTCTTACTTTTTCCCAGATACCGGTCGAGCCAGTTGTGTATTTCTTCCAGATTGGAACAGGACCTCCTGACATTTCTTACTATTTGAATGTTGTATTGATAACTTCGTATTATACTTAGTACCGTTTTGAATTATTCGCTAAGTTGATTATTGGATGAAATTTATTTAAAGTGACACAAAACCGTTTTTGTATTAACCAATCAATTTGGTTCCAACAATAATGCACCATCTTATATAGGTAGTGCTAGGATAGCATAGATCTACACCCTTACATCGCGTTACAGGATATGGTGGAGTCTAAGGGAACTGTATTGTAGAAAACACGCATTTAATTTTGAAATGTATATTATATAAAGTATATAGGGCAAATATTTGCATCTAAGCAGCATAAATAATTAAGTATGTGTTGACGAAATGATATAAAGTAGTTTACAATTAATGTCCAAATAACCCTCTTCCAAGTTTACCAAAAATAATCAAACCGCAAAAGAAAAAGCTTCCAACGTACAACCAAATGGCTATAAAATCGTCGTCTTTGCCTAACTGAAGGAATTGATTGGCGTATTGGAGCACCAATTCATAATTTTGCAAGTATACAGATAAGCACGCTAATGTGGCGATCAATAAACTAGACAAAAACCCGCTTATGGTACCATCTAACAACAACCACAAGCCAGGGTTCAACAACGACCAGATCATCAGCACTTGTAATGATGAGCTCCATTCAATCTTACGAACAGCATACGAAATACCCAAGAACGTAACCAATGCTCTCACTAAGTCATTGAATAGGTGGGCGTCCTTAGACCCGCTTGCATTTGGATCAGAAGACAATAATCTCTTTGTCATGGACGTTGGGAGGACGCAATCCATCATTGGGTGTATGAGACCCATAATTAATCCTTGGATTGACAATGCGAGAAAATTGTCTATCCAGTTAATCGAATATGTGTTTGTCTTTGCATAACTCGAAAATGGCTTTAATTTGTGAACGAAATTAGTTAAAAACATATTCGTGATGAACAATGGTTCGTATGTCAATTTGCTCACCTGAATGTGGTTATTGTGGATATGCTTGGTGGTTTCATTGTATAAGTACGCAGCCCCTGCTAATATCACTACTTTAACAAATGTTTTAATCCACCTAACTAAAAGGGGCATTTCCGTTTTTCTGGAACTCTTCGGGCCACTCGCCACAGAAGATTCTCCTTTGCCTGTTTGCTGATTTATGTATAATTCTGAATTTTCGATATATTCATCAACATCTTCGCTTTCCTTATTTAAATTAAGTACGGAGTTATCATTGTAGATCCCGTATAAAGAAGGTTTCGTCAAATTAACAACTGAATCTGTTTTCTCCATCACGTTCGGTGTAGATGTTCCTGAATTGGAAACAGAATTTAACATATTCTTAAGACTGGTACTAGAAAATACTTTATTTTTAAAAGAATTGGGAGTTGGAGCTGGAGTTGACATTTTCTAGAAGATTATATTATTATTATTATTATTATTATAAAGTTATTATGTAAAGTATGTTAGAAGTGTTCAGTAATTTCCTATCTATTGACAATTTTAATCCGCATTAATGTCACGCGCTATTTTTATCGACTCATACTACAACTATACAACTAATTACTGAGATTATATAGCGAATCGTTCATTGCTTGCTAAATAAATCTTCAAAGTCAATTGATTTAACCGTCTTCTTCATCAATTCTCGTTGTTCAGCTTTTTTAGCAGTTTTTTTAGCATTCTTGGCGGTCTTACTAGAGTCTTTTGAGGAATCCTTCTTCTTTCCACTCTTTCTTCTCTTAGATTCCATCTTAGCCTGCTCAGATGTATTCTTATTAGACTTGCTTGTAGGTTCTGTTGTAGTCTTCTCCAAATTTGATATTTGGGTGTAATTCTGTTCTGAATCACCTTTCAAAGAGCTATCTTTCTTCACGTGCATTGCTTCTTGGTCCAGTTTATCCATTGCAGACCTTACATTGATGTTTTCTAACGATAATTCTTCATTTAATGAGGGCAGGGAATTTGAAACACGCATCTTATCACCCTTCTTTAATATTTGATCAAAATCCAAGTCCGCTACTAGTTTCCTTCTTGGGTATTTATCGCTATTTCCCTCGTAGATGAAGGTTCTTCCATATGATGGGGAGGAAGAATACTGCATTGGTTCATCTGTATCAGTTTCTTGTGTATCATTGACTGTAAACCCACGTTGAGTGTCGTCGTCAAGTGGCGGTAAAAGGCTCGGAACTGGCATTTGGGAGGTTCCAATATTCTTCTTTACACCATTTTCAGCTTGCCGTATGCTATCTGTGTCTGCCAGTGGAGAATCAGCTGTGGTTATTGGTTGCATAAATGAAGATGTACCTTCTTGAGAAATTTCCTTTTCGCATCCCTCTATTACAATAATTTCATCATCCCCGATCAATTTTCCTTCGTATTCTTCATTCGTTAGGTCTATAACTTCTTTGAATTCGGCGCCTTTTTTTTCCGATAAGCTTTTTTTATTCAACGTTTGGGTCAATTTCAAGTTACTCTCTTTTTGTTCACCATTTTCTTCTTCGTCCACAATGACAATATCTAAATCATCATTATCAGGCTCAATATCCTTCGTATCAACTGATGCAGTAGGACACCACTTCGAGTCTTTAAGCCGTCTTTCCGTGGCCTCCAAAATCAACTTCCGAAGTGCTGCAGGGTCAGTAGGCATCTTAGCTTTATTCATTCGATTGCTTGCAGCTGAAGTGCCTAGTTTTCTGGACTCCGATTTAAACTTAAGAGCGCTAAGAGCCGCTATTCTCTTCTCTCTCACGGATATGTACCCTCCTCTAGGATTATACACGCCTCCTAGTGTCTGTTCTTCGCATACATAATTCGACTTGGCCAAGGTTCCGTATTGAATATTTTCAAAATCTTTCTTAAGCCCATCCAAGAATTTGTAGAATTTGGCATCATGAGGACCATATAAATTGTGTGTCAACTCGTGTAGCATTGTGCCTATTATATCACCTAACGGATAAAACAGCTTTTCATTCGAATGGTAACGTAGCCGTATCAAAATCTTCTGTCCCCTATTAACATTAAGTCCCAACAAATTAGGGTTTTTAGGATACATCTCACATAGTGTTCCGACCTTGAAATTATTCATATGCAATATTGGAGCTACCAGCTTGGCTACTTGATGTAACAAAGAATTTGCATAATCTTGGTCTGAAAACCTCTTTAAAGACCCGATTTTCGATATATTTGCAGTTGGAGATGGCTTATCAACAGCCTTGGTTTGTTTCTTATTAGTTCGTCCTTGAAGAACCATATCATACCTCTTTTAAAGTTTGGTATCTTATTTGAAAAGTAAATAGATAAAGTATTATATATTTTGAATTTTGAACCTGCAATCAATAAAATAATTTGCACTTTATTGTTATCGGCCTTTATTTTTATTTTTGCACCCTAAGTACTACAAGAATAAATTATTCACAGATTTCAATAATTGAATACCAGATGGTTTAATTTGGTTATCTAGATACTTGATCGTCACTTGTTGTGTTAAATAAAAACAAAGTATGTTTTAAAGACTGAATTTTCCTTAAATTTTTAATTTTTTGGTTTTTTGTGCAAAGTATATCATAATTAAACAACTATTTCTTCAATTCCTGAACATAACTGAATATGATAAACATAGAAAACACAATATTTTTTCGTGTATTTAAATTGATAATAAATTATATACTAGTTATTCTCATATAAAAAATCATTAAATTTGTAGTTAGGTCCTCCTATTTGATCGCATGTGCCTCGTAATTAAGACGATCCAAGAATTTAATCATAAACGAACCAGGTCCGGTTACATCTTCACCAACTTCAGAACCACATTTATTATAAAACTCGACAGCTCCAACAACAGCTTCAAATATATTGAAAGTTGTTCCAGGATTTCCATCGGCATTGGCTGCAACAAATGCTGCAATGGTACTACCTAATGAGCAACCAGTACCGGTTATTGAACTCATCACTTCATGTCCACCTTGAATGTGGGCATGTTTTATGTCATCGACATTATTCGGGAAAGAAACAGCATGAATATTTTGAGAGTCCTTAGAAACACATATGCCATCAAATACAAAGTTCTTAGCACCAGTAATGACGACAACTGTTCTGAAATCCTGTGCCACGTCTTTACCAATTCTTAATATATCAGATTCATTAAAGTCAGCAACTGAATCTACCCCACGCATTAATAAGTCATTTTTACCGGTCTCCGAAACTTGGAACTTACTAGTGAGCTTCCAAATTGCCAGGATTTCACCAACATTACCTTTAATTACAGAAAATTGCCCGGCATTAAGTAACTCCTTGCAGCATTCAAGTCTTGGAGTTGAGGCGCCAGCAGCTACTGGATCAAATATTATATGCTTTCCATGCTTATTATAAACAGAGATTGCATATTTGAAGACATCCATCTGACTAGTCGAAGGTGTCCCTAAATTCAACACTAATGCAAGATTAGGGATCAGCGATGAGAACTCTTCAAATTCATCAGGAAGCTCAGACATAATTGGTGATGCACCGATTGACAAAGTCACATTTGCACTAAAATTTTTCACAACATTATTAGTAATGTGGTGGATTAGGGGTTTCGATTTCACTACTGCTTTGATCTTAACATCACTTGTTTGACATAAGGATTCATTAGTCAAATCTTTCACCCATGGAACCGAGGACTTGATAACATTTTCAAGTTTGATAGTAGATTCTGCTGCATTTTTGCTTGCCATAATACACGAAACAACTGCTACACCATTTAGTGATTGGCCTGGAATCGCCGTCTGATACAATACCTTTGATGCATTGCTTTCATTAATGCCTCCAATGGCCACGCTGCTAATATAGTTGTTTCCTTGTTTCGTATTATGTGCTTTCAAAACCTGAAGCATCTTCCTAACACCTATTGGACCGGTTCCTTCTGGAACCAGCACATTTCTTTTAGTATTAGTTTTATAAACCGTGCCCAATCCAACGTAATCGGCAAGTCCTTCTTTGCAAACAACTTCCACTTCACTCGGGAAAGAACAACTAACACCAACAATCTTATTAGGTCCTAGTAATTTTCTAACAATTGATGCAGGCATATCATCTTGTCCCACATGAACACCTTCAGCATCAACTGCCAAAGCAACATCAACCCTGTCATTAATAATTAACGGTATGCCTCTTTTTAAAGTCAACTCATGCACCTGAGATGCTCGTTCGATGAAATCAAGTGTCAGCAACGTTTTTTCACGCAACTGAACCATTGTAGCTCCATTATTAATAGAATGCTCGACTTGCTTCAAGAAAGTAGAACCTTCTGGAACCATGGTCGAGTCAGTAACCAAGTACAAAGTATAATCAACATGAGAAGTCATGACTTATGTGATATGGATGTACTAAAATCATATCTCTCTTCATTGACAGAATTAGGTGGATTTAAGTATGTAGCTGATACGCGCAGATGAAGATATATAAGCGCATAGTCAATCTATTCAGTTAGAAGAATTATATAGGGTCTGATATATGAAATGCAATAAAATTATGTTACTATATATATATATATATATACGTATACATGAATAGGTAGTACAGCTTTCTCTATACATAGTTTCAATTTAATGCTAGGTTTTAGGATGCGAGTTAATTGAAACATAACTCAATTTTGTAGATGGCTGATAATATAATCATACATTTGTAGGGTTTGAATTGTTCATTCAATTTAGGAAAACTATGGGGCTTAGGATAATGAGAATTGATTACTTTGCTTCTCTCTGCCGGCAGAGGTCCTATTGAATGAAAATTCATATAATGCAATCATTGTACTGTTACTATGTACATTTGAAGTGGATCAGTTCATATTTGCTTCATCATCAGTAATTCCGATAATTTCATCTTCATTCTCGAAGTTTGATATAATACTATTAAGGTTTGTTTTCCCAGAACCACTCTTTAGCACACTCATTAGATCTCGGTTTCTCTTAATGGAGTACTCTTCACATTTTTTAATAGTACCACTAACATGAATGCATCTCACTATCACATCTTCGTCTCCTAATTTATTCATTAAGGCTAGAGCAGCAACTACTATTTGGAAGGTCAGTCTACCACATCTTATGATACCCGTAGATGTTTTATTACTGAAATACTTAATCGCAAACTGCATACCAGCAGTTCCAGCTCCAAAGTCACCATAATGATCTTGTATAACAGTTCGTATGGCTTGCGTTAGTGTCTTTTGGCTAATATTCGATGGTGATGTTCTATGCAACGTGAGAAGTGTATTTTGTCGTGATTTACTAAAATTAATGAAATCCTCCAAATTTCCTTTGGAACCACCTGTATCAGATGACGGTGGATATAATATATCAAACAATATGTATCTTTGCTTTAATCTAACCATACTTTTTTTCCGTCAATCAGTTGTATGGATTGAAGTAACGTTTTATAATTCATATTAAATAAATTTCCGCGATGACAATTTTCAGTCCAGCGCTGAGATCGATATTAACTATATAACTAAATATTTTTCAGTAATTTCTCTGGCCAGCATTGAATTGCCATTGATATTGTAAATTAGAGATAAATTATACGCTGCTTCTACCAGAAGATCATATTGGCTATATTTCTTTACTTTATCATGATATTTCAACACTTTTTCATAATGGTGTATAGCTGCAGATGTTAAACCTATCATATGAAATAGCCTACCAAAATTGTACTCTATTTCCTGTAACTCAAATGGAGATGCATCTTTTTCCCTGTGCGATTTGTATTCCAAAATGTAACTTATACCTTGAAGCAACTGTATATGTCTGTTATTACTCAATCTCTGCATTGATCTATGCACATGTGCTAAACCAAGAACGATGCAGATCATGGGATCTTGTTTGTATTCCTTATAGGCTCTGTTTAGGTAAACAATTGACGAGACATAACTTCTACTTCCTCCTAACAAATTGGCGTAAACGTACAATAATTCTGGATGTTCACGACTAAGCTTAACATTTTTGAGATCAGCTGTTATAGTCGCCATTCCAGTGATTTTCTTACCACTGAGAATGGAATCATAAGCTTTCAATTGTCGCAAAAAGAATTTTTGATGATTATAATTAGCAAATGTTTCCCACGCTTCAACTCCGGATGCAAAGCAGCACATGAAAAGCTTATAGATAAATGGAGAAAATTGATTCGCAGATAAAAAATATCGAATATACGTCATAATGACTGTTCCTATCTCTTCTTGCTTGATACCAAATATTAAATGCACCATATTCAAGACGGTCTCCTTGTTTTTATCTTGAACAAATACATTCACGTCTTTTGCAACTTCTATTATATGGGTTGCATACTCTGTGTTATTATCGAACCTAGACAATAATATAGCGTATTGAACAAAGATCCCAAACCATATATCATAACTAAGGCCCCTATATTCAGTTGTCGAAGTGAGAAACAGTCTGGTATGAGTATCATCATCATTAGCTATACCTTCATATAGATTGTAGACTCTGGCTAGCTTTTCATCTATTCGCATTTGCTTTTTACGCCTGTACAACACAATGCCTTTAAATGCTCTATTTTTATCTCGTGGGAAAAAAATCCTAACGTTCATAAACATCTCAACCAATTGAGAAGCTAGCTGCATCCATGCTGTCACTGCAACCTTTTCGTTCTTAGTAATTGCGTCTTCTAAACGCTCCATACGATGATATTTCTCCATTACTTTTCTTTTTGCATTGTTTTCAAGTTCCAATCTTTCTTCTTCGCTTAATTTGGAATTTTTACTTGATTTTATTAGTTGTTTGTTTTTAATTAACGATAAGTTATCTTCCTCAACAACTTCATTATCCAAATCTTTTGGAATATCAGCTTTTCCAGCTCCACTTTTTTCGGTAGCAATTGATACTTCTTCTAACAATTTAACAGACTTTTCGCTTTCACCAAGATGATAAAAGGTTTCTGCTAGAGCCAATTTAAAGTCTAAATTATCAGGATCTCCATACAAAAGAGAACTGTATGCTTGTTGAGCTTGTATATAATCGCCGACTTCTAGGAAACACTTAGCTAGCAACGAGACTAACTCAGGACTTTCGTTTTGTTCATCATTAAGGGAAGCACGAGTCAAGAAAGTTAAAGCTTCCTCATGAAACCCATGTGCCTCCAATGCTTTACCAGCTTCAAAATACAAATCCGCAATATCTTCAGTTTCTTCCAATAAGTATTCAAAATGGCGCATTGCTTCTTCCTTTTGCTCCAAACCTAACCTTAGACTTCCTAGCTTGAAACGTATATCGATTGGTAAATTATAGAACTTTTCTTTAGATCTTGCTTGTTGAGAAGGAGATAAACCCTTAATCACTGCGAACCTCCTTTTATCAAATTCTGAATCGTCATCCACTTCATCCCACCATTTTTCGTCTGTTCTATTTTGTATCCATCTTGCAACTAACTTTATAACTTTAATACCTATCTTCCATGAATGCTGCTGTAAGTACAATTCACATAAAATATTTAATTCCGCCCACCCGAACCTAGGAACACTTTGTTTAGGCTGACCAGACGGACTAATATTCAGATCCAATATCCTCATGTATAAGTTAATAGCATCATTGATTCTTTTCTGTTCAACATAAACACTAGCTAGATTCTTGATAATACTAGTATCAGCAGGGTATACTTGATGGACTTTTTGGAAGCCTTCCAACGCCCGTCCATATTGCTTTTTTTCCTTATATAAAAATGCCCGTTCGAGAATAAACTTAGCATTTTTGGTATTGTCAGATGCAATCGCTCTACCATAACAATATATTGCTTGATCAAGGTGACCTAATTCGCTACTCAATTCAGCAACATTTCCCCAGAATTGACTGTCCCATGGGTGAATATTCGCAGCTAATAACCATGCATTGCAACATTTATGCAATCTCCCTTGTTGCTTGTAAATTTCACCTAACGTTTTATAGGCACTAAAATTCTTAGGGTCTTTCTTGATAACTTCTAGATACAAGTTTAATGCTACTTGGAAATCGTTTCGAACAAAAGCTTCATTTGCCTGAGATAAATTTATGCGAACCTCTGGATCTAATTCACGGTTTGTACTTCTCATCATTTTACGTTTCCAATATGACTTTGACGCAGACACCTTCTTTTTATTCTTAGGTTTGAAGTTACCAGCACTTCTAAGAGCATCTCTTAAGTCGTAGTCATCATCCAAATCATCATCCTGCAGCCCATTGTCATCATCAGACGAAGTCAAAAGAAGTTGTTCATCATTTTCATAAGCGTTATCATCATCTTTTTCCGATCCCTCTAAATCTTCAATAAAGTCTTCTTGTTCATCAGAAGAGAAAGTTAAACTGATATCATCATCATCATCATTATTATTATTAGTATGATTATTATTTCTTGATGTTAATCCAACGGTATCCCCAAAGCTTCCGCCTTCAGGATTCTCAAATACATTAGAAGACATCCTTCTAGGTGTTAATTTCAGTTATATCAATATCAATTGAATTGACTAAGTTAATAATCTAGTATTATTTATTTTGATTTCATCAAAAAACCACGCAGTTTTGGTTTTCATATTTTGGCGCACTTAAATTTATTTGATGTACTTAGCCAGGATCAAATTTTCACATACTAAATTGTTTCAATTGGCTTCATACAAGATAATTATCTCCTAAATAGTAAGAATGCAATTAGGTTGCTGTTTAGCAATATGTCAATTCTTTTTGTTGAGCGTGGTTGCCTTTCAGGATAACGATTTGAGTTCAGTTGAAAATAAATTTGAAGTGAATCTTGAAGGTAATTGGAGAACCAGCCCATTCCAGCTAAATTTACTCGAAAGTATATCAGGATATAATGAGTCTTTATTTATTAGTACATTAGCCAATATTATTGGTTTTTCTATTGAAGAAAATGAATCGGATGAAGAATCGAATGACGTTGATGGTACTCTTATTGGTGATTCTCATATATATAAGAAGGTGGTTGATGCGCTAAATCTAGATGATATTTCCAAGTCATTCATAGGGTTTAACTTGGTAAACAAAGTATTTACCCCTCGTATTCAAGCACATTACGAGTACTATACTAATGTCGTCGATCCCCAATTCTTCCATAGGTTGAACAAAGAATGTTCCACGGATTCTTTTGGGAATAAGATTCTCTCCGGAGAATCTGACAAACACCAGGCATGGATACTTTATAATAACAAGTTATATTGCTCTTCTGACGAAGTGTTTGCTTTGAAAACCGATAAGAAGTCTACTTCGACGGATGATATTTTACCATTCGATAGAGTAATTGGTTCCAACCAGGAGTCACCTCTCTTAGTTCTATATGGAGATATAGAATCTGAGGTTTTCAAAAACATGTTCATAAACCTCTACGAAAGTGCAAAAATAGGAAAGTTAAGATTTGTATGGAGGTATATTCCTTCCAATAGTCAAAATCAACGTGAACAACTTAGCGGCTATGGGGCCGATCTCACGTTGAAGAGAACAGATTATATGGTTATAGATGATCGTGACATCAATAAAATTCAATCTACAAATGAAAAAAGGATAGAAAACAATAACTATCGTCTTGATAAGGATATTTCAAGGATTGCAAGTCTTGACGAACTTAAACCCATTTCCAAAGATAACCTTACTGATTTGGGGTTAAAATTGGCTTCGTTTATATTATCTAATGATTATTCCGATATTTCAAATCACGATTTATTGAATAGTATTTTACAGGACTTTCCGAAATTTGCTTATTACGTTTCCCATTTAGATCCTGAAAATATCAATTCCGTTAGAGAAAGCGTGAACGCTAATGTGAAACTAGGTATGTCTGAAGAATCGAATGGTATTTATATTAATGGATCACCTATAAACAAACTTGAACTTGATGTACTTAAATTGGTTGATAAAGTACGTGATGAGTTGAAGCTAGTGAATGAACTAAAGGCATTAGGATTTACCACCGGTCAGGCAAAGAAGCTTTTATTTAAGTTTGCATTATTAAGTGCTGTAAAGGAATCACAATTTCGCACAGGAAATACCATTATGGGTGGAAATGAAAATAGATTTAAAGTCTATAATTATCAATTCACACCAATGAGTAGACATAAGAAAGGTGGTGTTGTTTTTTTCAACGATATTGAAAAAGATGATGTATATGAAAGCTTTCCTTCTAGCCGGAGAGAAGCCTATTTAGGGTTTTCAGCACAACATCTTAGACCAGGACAAATCCCATTAATACGAGAAAACATACATGACTTGATATTTGCTTTAAATTTTTCAGACAAGGAGCAGTTAAAAGTTTTTTTCACGTTTTCTAAAATCATTCTTGATAAGAGTTTACCTCAACAGCTCGGCTTAATTGCATGTGGTGGTAATGAAAAAGATAAGATGATAGCTGAAATCTTCTACTTTATTGTTGATAAAGCATCCTTGACAGAAGGATTAGCCTTTTTGTATAAATACTTTGATGCGAAAGATGAAGAAGCAGAGAAAGAAATCTTGAATGCCGTTAGCATTCCGTCAACATACATCTTCAATGAGTCTATTTATCAAGATGTCTTGGATAGATTTTCAATCAATTCACCATCAGTTATATGTAATGGTGTTATATACGAGCTTACTTCAACCTGGCAAGTACTAATGGGCAAACAGCTTGCACAAGATATTCGATTGATACAGAATCATATCCAAAAAGGCAATGATGTTAATAAATCATTAAAAAGTTTTCTTTTTGAAAACGCCAAATCTGAGAGAAACTTGCGTATTATTCCTAATGATGCTAGTTTAATTAAATATAAGGGAATAAACCAGGAATTAATAGATAATTCAATTTCTTTCAAATGCGAAGAGAAAGATAATGGAGCATCGGCAACATTTTGGTTAATTGGTGATTTCAATTCTATTAATATTTTGGATCAATTTGTTGAAATTTTACGTACTATGAAAGTGGAACGTTCGTATTCTATTCAAGTACGGATCTTGAACAAATCTTCGAATAGTGATTTACTAGACGAGATCAAAACTCTATTCCATATTAGCCAGTTAAGAACTAAAGATATTGAAAATATAATATCTTGGCTATCAGACAGATTACATAATTCCGTCAACTATAAGCCGGATAAAAATATTATTCAGTTATTAGAAAAAAATGAGTTACCACCTAACCATCCTTTACTTTTACTAAATGGTAGATATTTTAGGTTGGATAAAAATTTATCATTTAAAGAATTACAACAACTTTTAGAATATGAATTCAGCCAACGGCTTAATTTGTTTGGTGATATTATATCAGCTTATCCGGAAGATTTTCCAAGATCATTCTGTGGATACCATTCGTCCAGATACGACTGTTTGGACTGGTTTGATTTAGTCTCATCTTATGTTACAAAATCTTTTCACGTAGATGATAACATGCTCGTCTCGGATGTTGCAAGATTCGATTTTAGTTCTTTGAATATGGATAATATTTTGAAGATATCTGAGAATGAAACTCCTAAAGAAGTGGAAGTTTTACTCATAATTGATCCTATTGATGAAAACTCGCAAAAACTAGTTTCTATCATTAATGCTATCACAAGTTTTCCGTTTGTTGATATCAAAATATTACTTCAACCACAACTCGAAGCAACTGATGAAGTTAGAATTGGTAGACTTTATCGAGGCGTATATCCATCCTCTATTCCACAATTTGGTAAAGACGGTGGATTAGAAATTAAAAATAAAGCAGTATTTGGAATGGTACCTAGCCAAGAATTATTTACTACCAATATCGATTCTCCAGCAAGATGGCAAATAGTGATACACGATAGTCCATCTGGAGTTGATTTGGACAACGTGAAATTATCAAATTATGTTGATAGTTTAATTTATGGAACTTACGTTTTAAAGAATATTCTAATTGAGGGCTATGCCAAAAATGTCAAATATGGCATGAATCTTTCTGGCTTGACAATAGATTTAAGTAAAGATAACTCGTATACCGACACAACAGTTATGTCTAATTTAGGATATTTCCAATTATCAGCTAACCCAGGAATTTGGAAATTTAAAATCAAACCAGAAAGCAAAAGTGAAAAGTATTACTCGTTACTATCTGCATCGGAAAACGTATTCATTTCGAACACTGATCCTCTTGATAGCGTAAAAGTGGCAATACTTAATTTAAATGGACTAGTTCTAAAGCCAAGATTTACTACTAATTCCGGGTATGAAAATAAATCTATATTTGAAGTGGACAATAGAATTGAATCTAAAGATGATAATAAAATCGGAAGCTTCATAAAGTCACTCTTGAAATCTAATGCTCCAACTGCCAAGAAACAAGCAGATATCAACATCTTTACGATCGCAAGCGGTCATTTGTATGAGAGGTTCTTATCTATTATGACAGCATCAGTGATGGCACACACCGATAAACTGGTTAAATTCTGGATCATTGAAAATTATATTTCTTCCCATTTTAAGAAATTGTTACCACTTTTGGCACAGGAATACAACTTTGAATATGAACTCATAACCTATAAATGGCCAAATTGGCTAAGGTTCCAAAGGGAGAAACAGCGTACCATTTGGGGATATAAAATATTGTTTTTAGATGTCTTGTTCCCGCAAGATTTGAAAAAAGTTATATTTGTTGATGCAGATCAAATAGCACGTACCGATATGAAAGAATTGATTGATCTTGATTTGGAAGGAGCACCATACGGATTTACCCCAATGTGCGATTCTAGGAAAGACATGGAAGGGTTTAGGTTTTGGAAGCAAGGATATTGGGCACATGTGTTGAAAGACGGCTTGAAGTATCATATTAGCGCATTATATGTAGTGGACTTAGACAAGTTTAGAGCTATTTCCGCCGGTGACAGATTGAGGGCTCATTATCAAAAGCTTTCATCTGATCCAAACTCATTATCTAACTTAGATCAAGATTTACCCAACAATATGCAAAACAAAATCAAGATTCATTCACTTCCTCAAGAATGGCTCTGGTGCGAGACCTGGTGTTCTGACAGTGAGTTTAGTGATGCAAAAACAATTGACCTTTGTAACAATCCTTTGACAAAGGAAAACAAGTTAGAAAGGGCTAAAAGACAAATTCCCGAATGGACTACTTATGATAACCAAATAAAACGTTTGATGGATCAAATTACTGATAATGGAAACCCAAAAATTTCTACAGATGCATCAGAAAAGACACCTCGCAATGACCTACACGATGACGACAATCAATCTCAATACGAGCCTGATTATATTCATGATGAACTTTAGTAGCTATATAGTTATAGAATCGAAATTTAAAAAAATTACGTAATGAGTCATATCACATGCTGTTATCTAATAATTTTTCAGGTGCGGTACCGGATCAGTACTTAATAAACGAGGTAATTTTCAACAAAGTTATTCCAACACCTTAAACGTTGTCAACAGTTCATCATAACGTAGACAGAATAGACCATGAGAATCTCGGAAAAGTTGCTGCAAGCACACTCAACGTCCAATCCACCACCGGCCACATTTTCTTTTGAATTCTTTGTTCCAAAGACTTCTCAAGGTGTCCAAAACCTTTATGATAGAATGGACCGTATGTACGACTTGAATCCTATTTTCATTGATATTACGTGGAATGCAGGTGGTAGATCGTCCACTTTAACTAATGAGATGGTCTATACAGCACAATCGACTCTTGGATTGGAAACATGCATGCATTTGACGTGCACAAATATGAAGATAGAGTTGATTGACGAGGCATTGCATAAAGCATATGTTTCTGGATGTCAGAATATTTTAGCTTTAAGAGGAGATCCTCCATTGGATGGTTCCGAATCTACCGGTGACTTTAAATATGCCAAGGACTTAATTAGATACATTCGTAACAAATATGGTGATCATTTTAATATTGGTGTTGCTGCATATCCGGAAGGACATCCAGAAGAAGAAGACGAAAATAAAACGTTGCAGTACTTGAAGGAAAAATGTGATGCGGGAGCTAATTTGATCATTACTCAAATGTTTTACGACGCAGACAACTTCATTAAGTGGTGTTCAAAGCTTCGTAAAATTGGTATTGACATCCCAATTATTCCTGGTATTATGCCAATTTCGACTTATGCTGCGTTCATAAGAAGAGCTAAATGGTCAGAAGTATTGATTCCTCAACATTTCTTAGATGCATTGGAACCAATCAAGGAAGATGATTATTTGGTTAGAGCTAAAGGTACCGAATTGGTTAGCGAAATGTGTACAAAGTTAATTAAATCTGGATATGTGAATCATTTACATTTCTATACCATGAACTTAGAAAGGGCAACCATCATGATTTTAGAAAATTTGAATATAATTGAGTCAGTGAAGTCGCATGAAGTTATAGGTGGCAGTGACTTACCTTGGAGGAAATCTTTACATCCCCAAAGATCAAAAGAATCAATCCGTCCTATTTTCTGGCAAAATAGAAAATATTCCTATATATCTCGTACTTCCACTTGGGATGAATTTCCAAACGGTAGATGGGGGGATTCAAGATCTCCAGCTTTCGGTGACATTGATTTATTCGCAACAGATTTATTGAGACAATCACCAAAGAAGGCATTTGATTTGTGGGGCTACCCTGGGACATTGAAGCAATTCTCAGATATTATCATTTCATTTTTAAATGGTAAATTAAACTCATTACCTTGGTCCGACAGTGCTATTGGTCAAGATTCGGCGATTATCGTAGATAGCTTAATTGCTTTAAATAAAAAAGGATTCTTTACTTTAAATTCTCAACCATCGTTAAATGCTATTAAATCTAATGATAAAGTTTACGGTTGGGGTCCAAAGAATGGTTATGTGTATCAAAAGCAATATTTAGAATTCTTTGTCCATAAAGACATAATTCCTGCTTTATTACATCAAATTGATAACTACAATAGAAGCCAAGGAGACTCCAACTCCTCAGTTTTGACTTATTATGCAGTTGACCAAAAGGGAAACTTATCTTCAAACACCAAAGAAGATGATATTAATGCAGTTACATGGGGTGTTTTCCCAGGTGAGGAAATCTTACAGCCGACTATTGTTGAAAAGGTTTCATTTTTGGCGTGGAAGGATGAAGTTTATAGATTGATTACGGAATGGATTAAAATCTTTCAAAGTGATTTTGTGAAGGATGTTAACATTACTAAAGAAGACATTGATGCTTTTGTTGAGTTAATGACTAATTTCAAAGATGAATATGTTTTATGTAATGTGGTTAATAACAACTTCATTGATGACAATCAAACTATCTTCAAGTTGATTGATGAATTAAATATCCCTGACTTAAAGTGAATACATGCTTCAGTCCGTCGTCTTTATTTTTAGGACGTTTATCTTTTTTTGTTATTTTTTTGTCTTTTATTTCACACAGACAGGATATTAGGCACTCAACATGCCCCATTTAAGATCAACTTCAACCTCGATCTTAAATTTTAATCCTACATTGCGTATCCTTTTGTTAGTTTATGACGGTACGATTAAATTTTTGTTTTTTTAAGAAAAAGTTATATTTCATTTCAACAATTATATTTTGGTTAATTTTTTTGGTATTTAAAAATCCTGTGAATAGTGTGGCATCCTCAACGGTATGGTAAATTATAAATATATATATATATATATATATATATATCCCATCATAAATAAAAAGTTTTAATTCTTTTTAGTTCTCCTTTTTGTTGCTTCTCGACTAAGAGCAGAATTAAAATGTAGATGAGCAATAAATATTAATACATTAACGAAAATAAATAGTTATATATAAAATGATCAATGATCTAGAATAAAGATAAAATGGCAAATGTGAGTGGTAATATTACATTGAAAGTAGATATTGGTTTTCCACTCCAAGCCAAACCTTCATAGCTTGATTCGATTGCAATAGACGAAGGATGCGAGTAAGAGTTAAGAGTTGATGAAGGCAATATAAAGGAGGAGGTTGAGGTCACAACAGTAGACAATACTGTTGTTGAACAGTGTTGATCGGTACATGATGTGGAGGTAATTTCTTTCGTCAATGTAATCGTGATATCTTTGGTATTAGTACTGGATGTTGATAATACTGATCCTATATGATTTTCAGTTTCTGCTTCGATATCAGAAGAAATTGAAGTTTCTTGCACTGAAGTGTATTCAACAGAAGATGATTGGGGACTAGTAGTAAGAGTTTCGAAAGTTTCATAACTTGAATGAGGTTTTGGAGTTTCAGATACAGATTCAGTATAGTATGAAGATTCAGAAGAGGACTGATTCCAGTTCCATTCTATTGTTGACAGCTCGGCATTGGATTTGGATTCTGTAGTCAAAGGACAGTAAGTTGTATAGCTGGTAGTTCCCGATTTGTTAGTGGTAGTTATAATAGTGATACCGGTCTCAATTGCTGAGGTAGTACACTTATTTTCGTCGCAAGATGTTGTTGTTATAGTCGATGTTGTAGGTACGTGAATAGTGGTACTTGCTGATGTCAGGCTCGAGGGCATTGTTATACTAGTGCTTTTAATACTAGATGACCTATCCTTTGTTTTGGAGGGTTTTGATGAGGACGATGAAGACTTGGATATTTCAGTGGTTTCAGTAGATGTTGAAAGCGGAGTACTATAACTTTCTGAATAACGATAAGAACTGGTGAGGACTGAACTAATTACTGAGCGTTTCGTCGAAGGAACACTTGAGAATTCAAACAGCGAGATAAGATCCACAGAAGAGGATGGAGTCGTAACAGGTACAACTTCTGTGGTTGGGCAGTAAGTCGTATATATAGTAATCTGTGTTTCGTCAGTTTTTGTCACTATAGTAACTCCGGTTGGTACAGTTGAGGTGTGACAGGAACCTCCATCACAGGAAGTTATAGTAATTGTTGATGTTGTAGGGGCATAAATTGTTGTATAATCGGTGGACTCTGGTGTTGAAGTAACAGAAGTATCTTTGACACTCGAGCTAGATTCGAGTTTCAGTGAGACACTTGATGAAGACTTCAGTTTTTCTTTAGAACTAGATTCGTAACTAGAGGCAATTGAACTTGAACTATGATGAATCTTAGACGAACTGGTTTGCCTAGTTATATGTGATGATTCTGCTGAAGAAAATTTGGAGGGTGTCAGCTTGCGAGAAGATGATAGGATTTTGCTTGATGGCTCTGCTTCAGAAGAAGACTTCTTTCCAGAAGACGACAGTATTTTGGACGATGAAACGTCAGATGACGAAGAAGTAGGAGTAATTGGTACAATTTTTGTTGTTGGACAGTACGTAGTATACGTGGTTACTTGTGTCTCGTCAGTAACAGTAACTATGGTAACTCCAGTTGGTACAGTTGAAGTGTGACAGGAACCTCCATCGCAGGAAGTTATTGTGATTGTTG